CAGTAACGACTCTCTACGCTAAGTAACAACAGTATAGTTCTCTCCGCTAAACAACAACAGTAACAATTCTCGGCGCTAAGTAACAACAGCAACAACTTTCTGCACTAAGTAACAACAATAACAACTGTCTACGCCAAATAACATTAATAACTCTCTCCGCTAAACAACGACAGTAACATCTCTCTGCGCTAAACAAAGACAGTAACAGCTCTTTGCGCTAAACAACAAAGTAACAGTTCTCTGCGCTAAGTAACAACAATAACAGCTCTCTGCGCTAAACAACAGTAACAACTCTTTGCGTTAAACAACAACAGTAAGAACTCTGCGCTAAACAACAACAGTAACAATTCTGCACTAACAAACAATAATAACAACCCTGCACTAAACAACAACAGTAAGAACTCTGCGCTAAACAACAACAATAAGAATTATCTGCGCTAAATAACAACAATAACAACTCTCTGTGCTAAACAACAACAATAACGACTCTCTGCGCTAAATAACAACAGCAACAACTCTCTGCGTTAAACAACAACAGTAAGAACTCTGCGCTAAATAACAACAGCAACAACTCTGCACTAACAAACAATAATAACAACCCTGCACTAAACAACAACAGTAAGAACTCTGCGCTAAACAACAACAGTAACAATTCTCTGCGCTAAATAACAACAGCAACAACTCTCTGCGTTAAACAACAGTAAGAACTCTGCGCTAAATAACAACAGCAACAACTCTGCACTAACAAACAATAATAACAACCCTGCACTAAACAACAACAGTAACATCTCTGCGCTAAACAACAATGGTAACAACTCTGCGCTAAACAACAATAATAACAACTCTGCGCTAAACAGTAACAATTCTCTCTCGTCATCTCATTCACAATCTTTCATGGATCCGGATGCATAATCTGGGCATTAAACGTTTCTTTTCTATCTTGGCAAAATACATTAAAAGTTAAAGAAATCATAATAATCAAAATAAGGTGTTTTAAGACTGAATGTCATCTTAGTCATATTCTATTAGTTAGCTAGTCCTTCTTTATCTCCATAATTGACTGTTTTCTGTGGCGCCATGGTTTCACCTGAATATTATATAATAAAAGTTAACTGTGGCGCCACGGTTTCACTTCAATATTATATAATAAAAGTGATCTGTGGCGCCACGGTTTCACTTGAATATTATATAATAAAAGTTAACTGTGGTGCCACGGTTTCACTTCAATATTATATAATAAAAGTGATTTGTGGCGCCACGGTTTCACTTTAATATTATATAATAAAAGTGATCTGTGGCGCCACGGTTTCACTTGAATATTATATAATAAAAGTTATCTGTGGCACTACGGTTTCACCTGAATATTATATAATAAAAGTTAACTGTGGCGCCACGGTTTTACTTCAATATTATATAATAAAAGTGATCTGTGGCGCAACGGTTTCACTTCAATACTGTATAATAAAAGTTATCTGTGGCGCACGGTTTCACTTGAATGTTATATAATTTCTCGCCTACATACTTCATAGTTAAATAGATGTTGTTCGGGAACTCTTAATTATGGTTTATTGAGCTATTAATGACATATTATCAAGGTAGGAACTATTAATTATAGTTTATTGAGCTATTAATGACAGATTATCAAGGTAGGAACTATTAATTATGATTTATTGAGCTATTAATGACAGATTATCAAGGTAGGAACTATTAATTATAGTTTATTGAGCTATTAATGACAGATTATCAAGGTAGGAACTATTAATTATAGTTTATTGAGCTATTAATGACAGATTATCAAGGTAGGAACTATTAATTATAGTTTATTGAGCTATTAATGACAGATTATCAAGGTAGGAACTATTAATTATGGTTTATTGAGCTATTAATGACAGATTATCAAGGTAGGAACTATTAATTATGGTTTATTGAGCTATTAATGACAGATTATTAAGGTAGGAATTATCAATTATGGCTCATTAACAAAATTATTGATTATGGTTTATTGTGGATTAGGATTCATTCAAGCAGGATTCGTTTGCTTGTTTGTTTCGAACATTTGCACTAAACTATAAAAGTTTCATCTACGCTAGCTGTCCTTGATTACGACCTAATAGACGAGAAAGAGGGCAGCTACTCAACAGTACCCGTCGCCAACTCAAGTGCTACTCTAATTGAAAAATGAAATTCGATTGTAACTCTTATAACGCATCCACCACGTTCTCAAAGTGATGAACGCAATCATTCTGACGGTAACGGGATACGATAGATAGACCCTCTGATCCACAGCCAGAACACTAATCACTAGACTACGTCTGGCCCTTGAAATAGGAGTAATTAATTATGATTCCTTAAGGAAAAAAATCTACACATCTTTAAAGTAGGATATATTAATTAAAGTTGTTTAACTAGAACATATCAATTATTGTTTATTTAGATAGGACTTATTAATTAAGATTTTTCTATGATTAATAGCACATAAAGTGATTTTTTTTTGCTTGTCTTTCACCCTCACGAGCTCGACAGATAATTTTTTTATAAAGTGTGTAAATTGAGAATTTACACTTATAGTTGAAAAATACTTATATTAAACATGACTACGAAATATTAATTCAAGTAACTAAACTTCCAACATTTCTTGACTTCAGAAAGAGATTTCAAAATAATCAATTTTCGTTGTGACATATTTTACGCCAGTGAGGGGAAAAACAACTTGAAAATAGAAACATTTTTCGGATTTTAATTTTATTATAAAAAAACATACGAGAAAAAAATCCAAAGTATTTTTATCGGGAAGGTGAATAAGTTATTTAGCGTTTTGTTTCTTTTATACTCTTAACGAAACGTAAAGATCACGTTTGCGAAACGTCAAAACAAGTCTCTATTTTGATAATTGTTAGAACAAAGAATTCCCTTAGAATTTTTCAATATCATGTACTTGTAGTAGCTGCTAGGCGAAGTAGTTTCTAATGATCAAATTGTTGGAAAAATTTGACAGACTAGAAAGAGGGCAGCAACTCAACAGTACCCGTCGCCAACTCAAGGGCTACTCTAATTGAAAAATGAGATTTGATTGTAACTCTTATAACGCACCCACCACGTATGTTTATTTTGTACTGTCCGAAAATAAAGGCATCCGGTGTAAGCTGTTAAATATGACGTGATTCATAGATGTTTTCTCAATAAATGAATATGAGACGCAATAGGTTGAGTGTGTTTGTATATATATATATATATATATGTGTGTGTGTGTGTAGTTAAAAGTTGGATACACACTTGGTAAACAGTTTTTATAACCCTTCTATTTCAGTGTATAAAATGACTGACCAGTTTATGCGCGTCAACAAATTGTATCAGAGAAAGTAATTCTAAAACCCTTGAGAAGAGTGTACGAAAAGCGACATCTGTCGGCATAACTTGAGGTATATTACGTAGGTTACACACAGAGAATCATTTCAGTCTCATGTAATCATCATCCATGCACGAAAAGTAGTCATATATACATATCTAAGTTTTGGTTTTGTGTATTACGACATTTTAAGTTTTTTTATTCAAAAAAGTTATTTAGTTTTAATGCAAGACTTTTTAATTACACTAAAAACAAACTTACTTTATGCAAGACTACTGTGATATTGGCTTGAGATTTAATTACACTAAAACAAACTTACTTTTCGCAAGACTTTTTAATTACACTAAAAACAAACATACTTTATGCAAGACTACTGTGATACTGGCTAGAGTTTCCAAGCCGGATTAGCTAGGTGCTTAAAGTGTTACTATTAACTTCTCCTTATCATTTGCTGTATAAACGCTTTTTATAGAATCTAAAAGTTAAAACTACTTGCTAAACGTTTCTGCCTAAAGCTGAATTTAGAAAATATTAAACAAAATTAAAACTTAAGAAAGCACGGAACAAAAACTTCGTTCAGTAACCATAGGGTTCGGAT